GTGAGCTGCTGCTGTTGCTACTGCTACTGCTGCACTGCTGTCCTGTCTGGTTTAACCCTTGCTTTTATACCTGATCAAACCCTACAGAGTCAGTGGGCCCCCATTGTTTAAACCCCTGACCCAGCAACATGGTATAGAGCACCGTACAATCTGTGCTACTGTGTTGTATAACCACATGACTGGGCCCTCGAAGACCTTAGAAATTTTATCCTGCTGACCAGGTAACACAAAGCCCATTTTTTTCAATGTATTAGCTATTATGCCAGATACAGTTCAATCATTTACATTGCAAAAAGCATTAACAGTCTAAATTGGTAGAAATAGTAATAATAGTTTGTAGCTGTATTTTATGATGCACTATAATTAATGTTGATGTTTAAACAATTTAGTATATTAGTGTGAATCTGATGTGGATTTTGAATTAAAGCAGCAGGATAGTATTCTTAAAAAAATAACTTTTTGTCACATTTGCTAAAAATTGTCACTATAGCCTGAGCTCATGTACACATTCATCTGAACTGTTTGTAAAGACACTTGCAAGAATCCACCACTCCAGGTCAAAACAACCAATCAGAGGCAGGAGCAGTTTCTGTTGTAGTGTGATTCACTGCTTGTGCACACGCAGCGCAGACCATCTCCTTCCGCATGGTCTCGCTCAGTTAAGTACAATATCTTCAGTGCGGCTTCAGACGTTTTGCGAACACAACAGCTGAGAAACAACCAGCAGCAGTGAAAGAACTGTGTTTTACCAACAGCATTCTATAGTACAAAACACGTGTGTGAACACATCTTGGCTCCACACGGAGCTTCAGGCTCATTATGTTCAATGCCCACTTTTAAAGCGCTTCTAAATCCTTCTCCTTCTCCACCTCCAACACCCATAAACCTGTCTGCCGATAACTTTGCCTTTGACAGGCAAAGTGGCAGCTATAACAAGCCAATTCTCTAAGTCACTTTTACTCTCGGTCCGGTCAGCTCCCACTCTGTGAGCACGGCACAAGAAAACCTACCATGTAGCAGTCCTCATACATGTCTCTCTCCATCTCCCCTGGGAAATACGCTAAGGGGTCGACTCCAACACTAACATGTAGCAGCCCAACTACATAGTTTTCTCTGTCTTCCCAGGTCAACGGCACTTCACTCTGCTTGTTTACTCCTCTCACGGAGAGTGAGGTATCAGAACCCCTGACCCGTAGCCGTCCTACTACATGCCCACTGGACCCGATTCCTACAAATCTCCTCCAAGCCATATCGCCTACCGAGATCCCGTCAATCACTCATGTGATTAATACTTCTCTGGCTTTGGGAACCTTCACAACCACTTTCAAAATGGCTCGGGTTACACCCTTGCTCAAAAAGCCCTCCCTTGACCCTACTCAAGTTGAAGTTGCCAGGTTCACTTCTACTGTTTCTATCCAAAACTATCGAACAGGCAGTCCTCAAACAGATCTCAGGTTTCCTCTCACGCAATGACCTCCTAGACCATTCTACTGAAATGGCTCTTTTGTCTGTAATAGAAGCCTTAAGGTCAGCTAAAGCTGTAGCCCAGTCCTTGGTTTTTATCCTGCTTGACCTATCAACTGCCTTTCTTGTTTTTTATCAGCCCAAAAGGACTCATGTCACTCCATTACTCAATGACCTCCACTGGCTACCCATGGCCTACGTTCCTTCTTGGCCACTGCCCTCCTCCAACAAACGCTGCCTGGCTCTGCCATCCCTACACACAAAGCAATCTCAGTCCTGGCTGTTCTCATCTGTGACACCACGATGGTGGAACGACCTACCATATGCCATCAGAGCAGGAGTGTCCCCCTCTAACTTCAAGAAGCTTGTGAAAACTCATCTCTTCCAAGAACACTTTCTCTTATAACACCTCTAACCTCTATTTATTGCTGCCCTTACTACACTGAACAAAATTGTAAAAGCATCACTTTTGTTTTTGCCCCCATTCATCATGAGCTGAACTCCAAGATCTAAGACTTTTTCTATGTACACAAAATGAAGTTATAGTATTTTTCACAAATCTGTCACAATCTGTGTTAGTGTGCACTCCTTTGCCGAGATAATCCATCCACCTCACAGGTGTGGCATATCAAGATGCTGATCAGACAACATGGGTATTGCACAGGAGTGCCTTAGGGTGGCCACAATAAAAGGCCACTCGAATATGTGCAGTTTCACTGTGTTGGGAGGGTCAGGGGGGGTCAGGGGTGGGGGGTTCTGGAAACCAGTCAGTATCTGGTGTGACCACCGTTTTCCTCACGCAGTGCAACACATCTCCTTTTGCATAGTGTTGATCAGATTGTTGAATGGGGCCTGTGGAATGTCGGTCCACTCCTCTTCAATTGCTGTGTGAAGTTGCAGTCAGGTCGAGACCCCATTGAGGACGACGCGCATGCGGATGAGCTTCCCTGAGACGTTCCCGAGAGTTTGTGCAGAAATTCTTTGGTTATGCAGCAGCTGTCCGGGTGGCTGGTCTCAGACGATCTTGGAGGTGAAGATGCTGGATGTGGAGGTCCTGGGCTGGTGTGGTTACACGTGGTCTGCGGTTGTGAGGCCAGTTGGATGTTCTGCCAAATTCTCTTGATCGACTTTGGAGATGGCTAATGGTAGAGAAATTAACATTCAATTCACGAGCAACAGCTCTGGTGGACATTCCTGCAGTCAGCATGCCAATTGCACGCTCCCTCAAAACTTGCGACATCTGTGGCATTGTGCTGTGTGATGGAACTGCACATTTTCAAGTGGTCTTTCATTGTGGCCAGCCTAACCCCTAAAATCCACTGCCTCCGGCTACGGTGCGTTATGGCTGCGCCACAGTTGCCGGAGCTAATTGTGACCATTATAGTCAATGCTTGTGAGTCTACCAGAGCACGTCCCAGAAGCGGCTCTCCGCTCTGCAGAGAATAGGTAGCAGGTCTATTTTTGCCGCTAGACTTGTCAAGCAACACAGAGCAGATCAAACCAGTCAGGAAGTCAGACACAGAATGGCATAGAGAATCCGGTCAAGTTTTAAAATAAAACACCCTGTGGAGACTCCTGATTGTAAAACAATAAACAGTTAAAAAAGACACAAAAAGAAATACTTAACTATTTAGCCTACTTAATCATAGAAGAAGCACAAAATGCAAACACTGATTGCCAAATCAACAAAATCTAAACATGTCAGCAAAATTAGGCAGGCAAAATGCTCTGATTCTGAAAAGCTCCTTGTACGAAATACTGCCTGAAGAGGAACAAAATGGGGTCACAGAGAGCTTTGAAGAAGGTAGTAGAAGCACAAAAAGGACAAATTAATAACAAGTAAATAATGTGGGGCAGGCTGCACGCTCCACTGCTGAAACGCTTGAGACGCTTCCTGTGGACTTTGACGATGGGCTATGGACGCATCAAAGCCCTGGCGCAACCATAATATGCCGTAGCCGAAGTCAGTGGATTCCTGGCCTAAGGCACACCTGTGCAATACCCATGCTGTCTGATCAGCATCTTGATATGTCACACCTGTGAGGTGGATGGATTATCTCGGCAAAGGAGAAGTGCTCACTAACACAAATTTTAACAGATTTGTGAACCATATTTGAGAGAAATAGGCCTTTTGTGTACAGAGAGAAAGTCTTAGATCTTGGAGTTCAGCTCATGATGAATGGGGTCAAAAACAAAAGTGTTGTGTTTATTATTTAGTTCAGTGTAGTATGTATTATCACTTGTAGTTCTCATGCTGTATTGATGCTTTGTTGATATCTGTATGTTGTTCCCCAAAGTCGCTTTGGATAAAAGCGTCTGACGAATGAATAAACGTGATCTAATGCCATGGCACTCGTGTTGACCAGTGGCAAAGAGACATGGTGACAAACAATGGGGAAAACGTTTGAGGTAAGACAGAGGTGTACTAGCCTCTTTTCCTGCTGTTAGACGTTGTTGCAGTTGCCTTTGAAGTAAAGTGTTGGACAGACGTCTTTGAGAAGGCAAGTCAAAGTGAGAGGGACCATGGAGAGTTTTTTTTTAGGCAATGGAGAGCGAGCCCTACACGGGATAAGGTTTCTGGCTCCTTCTTGTGGGCTTGGTGGAGGGACTAAGTGGAGTGATATGAGCAGCAGAGAAAGACGCAGAAGGTTTTTACTACTGCTGCTTTAACTCAAACTTAGAGCTGAAGTAGAGAAGAAAAATGACAAAAATATCTGAAAATGTGACCTTTGTGAAATCCTCCTGTCTAAATGAATCTCATTTGAAATTGCATTTATGCCAAAGGATCTCTTGTGGACAAACAACTCATGCTGTCCAGCCGCAAATCCGCTGTTGCTTTTTGGACAACATTCCTGGAACAAATGCTGTGTTAAGTTACTGCTAATGCAAACTAAACATTTCCTACTGCTGCAGCTTCATATTAGCATTTAACTGACGAAACACAAGTTGACTTTTATTATGAACTAATCAGCAGGATCTGTGTTCGTCAATGAGATTAGCAATGATGGCTATTGTTCATCACAAATGTGTCTACAAAGTTGACAAGTTTGAAATATTGCAGGGAGTAAAGGAACAAGAAGGAGCAGCCACAGTGAGCTGTTAGATAACTTCAACTTTTCAATGTGGTAACTGTAATGTATTGTTATAGCGCTAGGAGCACGGTTGTAAAATACAGTCCCTGTTCTGTGTGACTCTAGCAAGCCACCATACCTCCTCTGGAGTTGTTCAGGAACCACAGTGCGCCGCAGCAGAATAAAGCATTACAGTGAGCGACAGACAGGTCTCCTTCTTTCGGTCACGGTAGCAGCATATTACAGTAACCAACTCCTTTCACTGTGCCCTGCGGTGTTCAAACTCACGTGCAGCATAAAATCTGATCACTGTCGCTCACAAATTGTTGGAAAAAGGCCAATTACTGCCTGACTTCTTTATTAAAATTACAAAGGGTTGTTTTGCTGCCCCACACTTGCTGTTATGCCTACCACCAGTAGGTGTCAGTATTCTGAGGGTAACCCAGAAGCAGATCGGACAAGAGGGAGAGTTTTAAAAGTTTATTTAGACAATAGTGAAATGTGGATTTGGGGAAAGCTGGCAGGTGAGAGTGGAGGAAGTCCAGGGGAGGTTATTCTGCAAGAGGCTGGATGGCGGGCTTGAATAGGGGTTGGTTCCAAACTGGCTTTCAGGTAGCGTAGGCTGCACAGGCTGGGTTTTCAGGACTGAGTTTCCAGGAATGATTCCTGTGACAGAGAGAGACTTGGTTAAGTTTCGGGGAAAAAAAGGAGTGAACAGCTCAGGCAGGCAAAAACAGGCAGGCAGCAAAAGGCACAAACGTTTAACAAACTGGCTAGAGGGCAGTAGCATACTCACAATGATGTGTGGCTGCTCCTGAAGTACTGCAGATGATTAGTTGCGGAGCAGGTGTGGTGACGACCTCAGAGCCAGGTGTGTGAGAAGCCAGAGATAGGCATGCTCCCCCAAGCACTGCCAAGAGAGTACCACAAGACAAAACAAAAACACAACAAGCACCCAGCACGTAAACCATAGACAAAGAACAAACACACACAAACACCTAAACGGTTACTACAGCCGAGGATTTGTGACAGTAACCTCAGGTGTCACCAGATCGACCAGTGCTTTTCCTGTACAACGCGGGAAGGTAGCATTGAACTATCATGGTACGATGCATCGTTAAACTAACCAACATCTGAAGTACAGCCGTTTCCCAAAAACTGTTGTTGGTCACAACAGCACACCTGTGCAATACCCTTACTGTCTGATCAGCGTCTTGATATGCCACACCTGTGAGGTGGATTGATTATCTCGGCAAAGGAGAAGTGCTCACTAACACAGATTTTGACTGATTTGTGAACAATACTTGAGAGAAATAGGCCTTTTGTGTACATAGAGAAAGTCTTAGATCTTTGAGTTCAGCTCATGATGAATGGGAGCAAAAACAAAAGTGTTGCGTTTATAATTTTCTTCAGTACAGTATTTTTTCTTTCAAGCTCAATTGTAAGCCCTTGTCTATTGGGTTAAGCAGTAAAATGCAGAGCCACATTTCTCATCAGATTTACACAAACGTTAGGATGAACATTTGCTTTCACAGCTGTTTGCTGTCTACTGACCGAGTATATATTTTAAGGTGTGATACATGATATTTCATTGAGACAGTTGGGCAGTAAGTTTGACAAAAGTCAAAGTTGTGCAGCAATAACTTTATTTAGCAGCATTTAATACATTCAGTGACCATTTAGTAAGCATTTATTAGCATAGCAGAAAAAAGCCAGGCGCTCAATTTTTTTGTTTCATCTCTCATTTTTTATTTCAACATGAAATTGTTTAGCACATGTCCATGATGCGCCTCATGCTCATCCACCTCATGCCGCTCATGCCCATGTCCCTGAAGCTCCTGTACTCTCCGGGCCTCATGTACATCATCCTGCCTCTGTAGTGGGGCTGCTCGTACATCAGCCAGTGGCCGTCCATCACGTGGCAGGACTGGCAGTCGGACATACGGTAACGGTCCATGATGCTGTCGCAGTCGTCCATCAGCTCATAACTCTGACCACCGAAGTTCTCCTTCTCGTAGATCTTCATCCTGAACTGGCCTCTGTGCTGTAAAAACAGTTTGAAGGTTTATATCAGCGAGGAGTCATGAAAATGTCTTGTATAATGGAGAATGGTATAATATTATATGATATTAGAGGTCACCCTGTCCAACAAACACAATTATATTATTATTTACCATGGGGATCATACGGCAAGACCTGATGCAGTCTCTCCATCCCATCATGCTCATGTAGTCAGCGTACTCGCCCCTCTTCATGAACCACTGGTTTCCCATGTAGTTGGTACGGTCGTAGACCATGAAGCAGCCGCTCTCCACCCTGCAGGAGTGGCACCTGCTCAGGTAGGAGGTCATGTCAGCGCAGTCGCTCATGCACTCATAGGAACGACCCTGGAAGTTCCTCTCCTCGTAGAAGATGATCTTCAAAAAGGTGAATTGTAATGGTTAGAGAATAAAAGTAACAAGGTGAAAATGTTGATCTCATTTTGTAAACAATTATTTTGGGTTATTAGAAAAAGGTTTTTAATAAAAGTACCTTGCCCCTCATGTTCATGCTGGTGTTGCTCATGTTGGATGCAGATGTGCTGTTGCTCCTGAACTGCCTTCCTCCCTGGTTTAACCCCTTCCTTTTATATCTGACCAAACGTGACGGCCCCCTCAACAGACCGCTTACTCAGCAACTTACTATTGAATGCAGACGTTATGTCCATTTTTTCAGGGACTGGGGACGTAGCTTTCTTTAGAAAAGCCTTTTCTCTCATAGAAAACATTCCCAACGGTGCATGTAACATGTGAATAGGTGGGCCCATGTGACTGTAAAAACTCTGTATGTGAACTGTATTGGTGCATATTTATTTATTCTTTTGTTATTTGACTTGAGCTTTGGTGTAATTCATGTGTTACACAAACACAATCAGAATTAGTTAATGTGCTTTTTGAATATTGTGCGAAACACTGGATTTGGCTGTTTTCAGAAGCCCATTATAGAAGTGTTAATTTGATAGTGGTGACAGAGGTGCTTCTAGTAATTTACTCTTGGTAGTGGCATGTCAGCAAACATGTCTTTAGGTCCCCCACAGGATTTCTGTTTAATTGAGAAAGTGAGAGGTAGAACAACCCTTTACCTTAATGGACATTTCTGAGAAATCTAATCAACAAGAAACCAGCTTGCAGAGATATTAAATGACTGCATTGTGTTAACAGTTTGATAAATGCCTAAATTATACAACAGAGATACATACAGTCCAAAGTGAAGAATTTTATTTTACTTACTACTACTACTTACTACTTACTGAGTCATATAGGATGTTAAACCATCTGCAAATTTACAATCCAGATATGCAAATAAATACAATGTTAAGAACATATTGTTTAACATAAACATAAATAATCAATAGCAAATTCAACCAACTTCAGTCACATAATTTCAACCTGTCCTTACTAGAAACACGATTGTTTCTTAAAGCCCATTATTACGACCAATATTTATTGTGGCAGTGACTTCTAGTGGCTGTACGACGGTGGGGGGAAGGGGGAAGTTCGGTGTCGTGTCATACATAGCGAGAAAGTCCATTTAAGGTGGTGGAAGGATAGGTCAAAACCAGGACTTTCAAACAGGAGAAAGGCGAGTCCCATGTGAAACCAAGTAAATGTTGAGTTATTTTGAGTTTTAAGTTAAATAGCATTACTGACTTCCATCGCATGATTTAAGTAATGTAGTTATGTTAACCCATACCACGATGTCTTCCTAAACCCAACCAAACTGCAACAGTTTCACAATGTTGACCACGTGTTTAATGTCATGTGACTGACATCACGTGACTTATGTAGCGAAGTTAAGGCCCAATCAGCTGTGCTTGACTGCTCTGGGAAGTGCTCATATTTTGTTTTGGGAGACATGGACAAACAACCTATTTTGTCATTTAGGTTTGAGGACTAATAGCAAAATTTGAATAAAACAAAGTAAGACCAACATGAGAAATTGGTCACTATGACATGTGCGTGAATAAAGCTAACAAGATATTAAAAGAATAATTTGACATGTTGGAAAATCTATCTATTCGCTCTCTGGAGTCAGAAAATCTCTATTTTCCTAAATGTCAAACTAAGATACTGAGCTTGTCGGTTTTGTAATATGTTTTTTGTGTGGCTGTGGTGATTTATGTTTTGTCGATATATTAAGTGCATATTTTATACGTTGATATAGCTAATAAATAAAAATAACATCTTATATAAACTGACTGTGAGCAATATGTGCTGCGGGGACAGGAAGACAAACAGCAGGCTATCATGCGGCGGTTCAAAGAGCAAACCACCTTCCAGCTTGAGAAAGCAGCTATTCTGTACACAGAATATAACAATGTCCAGTAAATACAAAAAACACTACTAATACAGGAAACAAATTTAGAAAAGATGGTGGTGGGTTTTGTTTTAAATGAGAGTGAAGTATATGAAGCAGAAAAAACAACTTTGTAATTCTTCTCATCATCTCATCCAATCATCAGCCCAATACCTCTTCAAAGTAATGCTGAGTGAAGGGTCAGTGCTTTCAACAAGAAAATTACAATGTAATTATGTAAAGATTTCACTCAAAGTGATGCTGGAATATCTCATTTAAAAGGGTTTATGTTCTCTGGAGCATGAATGTGCTCAGAAAAACAACAACCAGCTAGTTTATAATGCACGTTTGGAAAAGGATCATCCTCCAGGGTTGCATAATTGTGCTCTGTAAATGAACAGCCCATACATTTTTAATATTTTGTGGGGACCGATGGTGGTGCCAGAGAAAAGGTTAGCAAAGGTCAGGGTCAAATTAAGTATATGGATTCAGACTCAGGACAATATAAATAAACTGTAGGTGAGGTGCAATTCTGAACTGACACTGGTACCAAAGTAAAGGTCAAGGGGTCATCAAAATCCTTGGACTCATCCTTTTGGAGTAAGTCCAATCAGTAAGATCATTAAAAGGATTATTCTGTGAATTCCATGATGATGTTTTTTAGTCTAGACACAACTTTGATTTGTACTTTCTGTTCATTCTTTAGGGTTAAGCCTCTGGTTAAGTTTACGATCATATACCTTATGTTGTTCATTATAGTGTGTTGGATCAATTTCTTTCCTTAGAAAGTCCTGATTAACTGAAAAGGTTTGCAGTTCAGCACTAGACAAACCTAACACTTGCGTTAAAGGATTATTTTACAAATCTGTTCTGTTGTAACTCTACCCCTACTGTCATTAAAACAGAAAGTATCCCATTGACAGATAATTTCACACACATATAATTTGACAGACATTTCATTGTCATAATTTAGTTAATAACATTTTTACTACTACATATTTTAAGCTATACTTTATATAAATAATGAAAAAAATCTAAAGTAGCGGTGCCAGAAGAATGGCTACTGGTGTACTATAACCAGCACAAGTGCAACTTCTGTCATTTTGTGTACTGTATCACAGCAACAGTCTTTTCTGTTTTGTTGACATAATATTTACATATTTAAAGGTGTTTTTTTATGATGTTAAAATGTATATTATCATGGCATGTTTGTGGTGTGCGCTAAAAATCACTGGAAAGCCCTAGACACATAATACAGGAATGGCTGCTAATGCAACAGGTTCAAACATTTTGTCAAAAAACTTTATTTTGGCGTATTACGACATCTACACAAATGATTTTACATGTCCATGATGCGCCTCATGCTCATCCACCTCATGCCGCTCATGCCCATGTCCCTGAAGCTCCTGTACTCGCCGGGCCTCATGTACATCATCCTGCCTCTGTAGTTGGGCTGCTCGTACATCAGCCAGTGGCCGTCCATCACGTGGCAGGACTGGCAGTCGGACATACGGTAACGGTCCTGGATGTTGTCACAGTCGTCCATCAGCTCATGCATCTGACCACCGAAGTTCTCCCTCTCGTAGATCCTCATCCTGAACTGGCCTCTGTGCTGTTTTTTGGAGAGAATAAAAACAAATGAATGTCTTAATATTAAGCTTTGTGGGGGTTGTTGCCTGTAGCAGATGACCAGATGCTGTTTTATACTTACCATGGGGATCATACGGCAAGACCTGATGCAGTCTCTCCATCCCATCATGCTCATGTAGTCAGCGTACTCGCCCCTCCTCATGAAGTACTGGTTTCCCA